CAAAGGAACCGAAGCATGAGTATTGAAAAACGATGGTTTGCACCATTGATAATCAATATTTTATTTACGCATCTTTATTTGTGTAAATGAAAAAAAAAGGTTGAAGTGTTTATTGTTTATACATATTGTTCAATTTTCTTTATTATATGTGTATATTTATGCGTGAAAACATATACAGTAATTGGAGGTACAGTTTAACGTTGATCGAAATAGGATCGATATTTTCATGCTACGACGTCGTAGTTGTTAACTATTAATTCTCAATGAAAATAACTTCAGCTGCTCTATATAGACATACAATCTGCCATATTGTTCGAGTGTTCTTGACAAACGATGTCTCTTATTTTTGACATAGTGAAAACGTTAATAAAAATGATCAGATCAACTTCATGTACTCTTACACTATGAAATTTGAAAATGTTTAAATTGATAAGGGTAAGCTGCACGTGTTATTTTTGAATGATTAACATAACCTCGAATTGAAATTAATTCGTTTAAAAATTAGAACAATTAGTGAATTAGATTAAAGATCTGTCGAAACATTATTCAACAAATGTGTACAGAAAGAAAGTTTTACTCCTTACGAATTATTTTAATTTTAGTGATCCAAGCAAGGACGATTTCTATTTCAAAGGATTTCAAATTTTAGGTGAAATATATGATACTATTGCATTAGAATTCATCTGTTTCATGTTGTAGGTACTACCCTATTTTGTACGATCTTGTTATTTGTAATATTTTAATATATGTAATTTTACATTAAATAACAATTTTGATATTATATTGAAGATTAATATTTGTTATTAATTCTTTTTTTTCAATATTGTTCCAAAAACAGGAAAGAAAATAGTTATGAGCTACTTTACTATATTGCGTTTCAAGAAAACTACAACTTTAAATAAATATTTATTAGAAAAATGTTTGAAACAATATTTAACATATCATGGAAGTGTATATTCCACTGGAATTAATAATCATCATAAAAATTACGTTTCTAAGAATGAACGTATTCGAAAATCGCAAATATTTCAAAACATTAAACATACTAAACGAAAAGTAGAGGAAATTATAGAAAGGGAAAATATTTGGACAGTACCAAACTTACTTTGTATGGGTAGAATTATAACATCACCTTATTTAAGTTACTTAATTTTGTCACAGGATTATCAGGTAAAATGTAACAATGGAATATCTTATGACGTGTTGTATTAATATTGTGATTTTTTATTACAGGTAGCATTGTGGCTTTTAATAATTGCAGGATTAAGTGATTTGGCAGATGGATGGATTGCACGTACATGGACATCTCAAGCTTCAAAACTTGGTAGTTTTTTGGATCCAGTTGCAGATAAATTACTTGTTGGTACATTGTTCTTCTCATTGGCATCGGTAGGATTGGTTCCTGTTCCTTTAACATGTCTGGTAATTTCGAGGGATGTTGCCTTGGTTTCTGCTGCTTCATACATAAGATATCGTTCTTTACCTCCACCAGTATGTATTCTGTTAAATAATATCAAGCAAGAAATTTGCCTGTTTATTTATTAAACCATTTCAGAAAACCCTGACAAGATATTTTGACCCTACACATGCAACTGTACAGTTGGCTCCAACATATATAAGTAAAATTAATACTGTTATTCAATTGTTTTTTGTTGCTGGAACTTTGGCTGCTCCTATATTTCACTTTGTAAATCATCCAATGTTAGGATGCCTGTGTTATATCACAGCATTAACAACATTAGCAGGTGGTCTAAGCTATTTAAAATCAAAAAATACATATAAATTATTAAGTAAAAAAACTTGAAGAAAACCATCTTGTTAAATGTATCATATATATTCTACTATTAATCATAAGAAATAAAATGTTACCATGTTTTATAGATTTATTATTTCTCTTTATAATACAGTCCTTTTATATATCTATTTAATTTAAAATACAAATTATGTTTAAGCATTTGCTGACATATCTTCAGGCTCGTAAGCACACGTTTCAAAAATACTTGCATCATTACATACACCGATATAATCAATTTCTAATTTAAAGGGTCCATTTTTATTATCACCAAGTGTAATTCCAATACGTTCAATTGTATATAAATTTAAAGATTGTTGTTTAGGTTGTGCTACTCCATTTACTGCATACACAAATTTTGAAAATGGTATTTTAATATCCTGCCAATAAGGACCGCCTGATGTATACATAACATAGTGATGAGCATCACTCTTATTTGGTTGGTTAAAATATGTATCATGTAATAAATTTATCATATAACATCTGCCATCACCTCTCAGTCTTAAAACTAAACAATTGTAATATTCAAAATCATAGTAATCTCGTACTTGAAAAGCTTTCCTTTTTGGTACAGTAGTTATATTACAAAAGCCAGAATTGGTAATTGCACCATCTTTAATTATACGAGTACTTAAATGACCATGAAATAGTCCAGTACCGGTAGACGAAAAATCTAATCTAAAAGGAAAACAAAATACATATATTTTGATATTAAATAATTCTTCAAAGGTAAAATTACTTGTACTTACTTATTGGATACTTACTTAGCAGTTGAATAACCAGAATGATCACGATCACAATTTAAAATCCACTGGTCCCGACACTTTGCTGTTCCATCAAACTTCAAAATAATATCAACTACATCTAGCGGTACAATATTCTTATTAACTGACATACTTTCACGCATATCTTTTAAAAACATTAAACTTTCTGCTTTTATATTGTTATATCCTTCTTGAAATTTCTGCAAGACATTTAAGTCTTTTAAACAACGACTACTGTTATGAAATCCTCGATTATTAAGAATCCTCAAATGCGATTGTAATATACGAAACATGATTTATAAGGGAGTTAAACACGAAGATATCATAAAAAGTACAAATTTGTTGGTTATGATATAAATTACATATTTTTCATTACGTAAACCAGGTATTTATCGTAATGTATAATTTAATAAAGTTTAATAAAGTTTAATAAAGTTCAATATAGTTTATATTTTTAGAATTATACTTAAATACATAGTTTCAGGCGTGTAATACGAATACATAATACACTGAGGGTTTATCGGTTCCACTGCATACTAGTTATAAAATGTTTAGATAATATTTAATGGCATCTGAAATATTTTGAAAAATGGAATAAAGTCATACAAAGTACAATTAAAATATTTTCTGAGTATGTATAAGTACCCGTAAAATTACTTGAAATTCATATTCCATAGGAAAATTGATATATTTAATAGCAGCCTAAAAACTTTTGTAGTGCTATCTATAACAAAACATTTAAACTACTGGTCAATTGGATGCATTTACTATTTATTATCTATTTTAAAAAATTATTATTAGTTAAAAAGGTCATAGATGACAATTACTATTGTTAAACATTTAATTCAAGCATATCATATAAGAAATATAACATCACTAATCAAAACATATTATATTCCATTGAGTATCAGGATATAAGAGAGATTCTACTTCTATAGTTGCAGAGTGCCACAATGGGCCACAGTAAACTCTTAACACGCATTCATGATAAGATGTTTTATTTGTAGTTCATGGTTGTTACAAAAATGATAAAATCACATTTTCATTCCACATGAAAATGGTATTGCTAAGATGCGGCAGTAAGTTGTTAAAAAGTAGAAACTTAATTTTTTTACAACAGAGAAATCACATTAGAAATGGAAACGTACATGGGGCGACTCAATCGAACGAATTTGAAGAACAAACAGCTGAAATACAATTATCCGATGGGTAAGGATATCACGTGCTTTTTAACCTAAATCTTACCGGTGTAAACTAATCGTATAAAGACAGTTATTCCTTGTACTATTTTTAGTTCGATTCATTTTGTATATGTTTGTAGGAAAAAGATTAGGTTTTCAACTGGAAAGTTTGCCCGATTCGCAGGTGGATGTGTTACTGCAAAATTTGGCGATACATCAGTTATGTCTATTGCGGTTAGACAAAATGAACCAGTTCATAGTGATATGATTCCTCTAACAGTGGATTATCGACAGAAAGCAGCTGCAGTTGGCCGTATACCATCAAATTATTTTCGTAGAGATCTACGTCAAACAGAGCATGAAATTCTTACAAGCAGATTAATAGATAGATCAATACGTCCTTTGTTTCCTAAAGATTATCGTTATGAAACACAAATAACATGTAATTTATTGGCTGTTGATGGATTTAACGATCCAGAAGTGTTAGCCATCAATGCAGCATCAGCAGTTCTAAGTATCTCAGATATTCCATGGAATGGTCCAATAGGAGCTGTGAGAATTGGACTCATCGATAATCAGTTTGTAGTTCATCCTTCTAGACGTGATCTTCAACATAGTATTTTGAATCTTGTAGTGGCATGTACATCTAAAAATTTAGTTGTTATGATTGAAGGATCTGCCAATGATATTTTAGAGCAAGATCTCCGTAAAGCTATACGTTTAGCTGCCAAGGAATGTCAGCTAATCATAAGTTCTATAATAGAGTTGCAAAAATGTGTAAGGAGAAGTAAGATTCAGATCCCTGAGAATGTAGAAACCAATTGTATGATAGAGCCTGTAAGAGAATTTGCAGAAAAAGAAATAGAAAATATTTTTACATGTTATAGCCATGATAAAATTACACGAGACAATGCTCTTGATAATCTGAGAAAGGAAACGTTATATAACGTGGCAAAAGACAACCCAGAAGTTACTTCAGCTGTTATGGAAGCTTTCCAAGAGCTTGTTAAAGACACCTTCAGATCTTTAATATTTCAAACAAATAAAAGGTTGACTATTATTAGTAAAAAGTGCAATGGTGTTTTAATTATAATTATTATTAGTCCAGAGTGTAATTTAATAATTTCAGATGCGATGGTCGTAAATTGAGACAATTGAGATCTATATCTTGTCAAGTGAACTTACTCGAGCCACTTCATGGTTCTGCATTTTTTCAAAGGGGACAGACGCAAGTTTTGTGCACAGTAACTCTTGATTCTATAGAAAATGCTCTTAAAATGGATAGCATATCAATGCTAGCTAGGTATTCTACACACTAATTTTTTAAAATTTATGCTGTGTAAATGTATGTATAACGTTTTTTAAATTTACAGTGGACTAAAAGATAAGAATTTTTTTTTACATTATGAATTTCCACCATATGCAACTAATGAGATTGGTAAACTTACCAGAGTAAATCGCAGAGAAATAGGTCACGGAGCATTAGCAGAAAAAGGATTAAGACCAGTTATACCAAAAGATTATCCTTTTGCTATAAGACTCACAAGTGAGGTATTAGAATCAAATGGTAAGTGGTTTACATGTAAAAGAAAGAAAGAAAAACAAGATGTTTAATATTTTACGATATTACATATAGGTTCTTCTTCAATGGCTTCTGTGTGTGGTGGCAGTATGGCATTAATGGATGCAGGCATACCGATATCATCTCAAGTTGCTGGCGTAGCCATTGGACTAATATGCAAATTCTCAAAGGACGGTCAAATAGAGGATTACAAGATATTATTAGACATACTAGTAATTATATTTATATCGACATATAAATATAATATTCGATGAAGAAAGAATTGATGTTTGACCTTTTGGATTGCAGGGTATAGAGGACTATTTAGGAGATATAGATTTTAAATTGACCGGTACGAAGAAAGGATTTACCGCTTTACAGCTCGACGTTAAAGTACCTGGTGTTCCTGTGAAAGCGATAATGGAGTGTATACAATGTGCAACTGAAGGAAAAAGTAAAATTATTCAAATTATGAACTCTGTAATTTCGTCTCCACGAGAGAAGAATAAACAAAATATGCCAGTATTCGAAACTATCGAGGTGCCGATCCATCAAAGGGCGAAGTTTATTGGAGTAGGAGGATTGAACTTGAAGAAAATTTTAACGGAAACCGGTGTGCATGTATGTTTATATCCAAGAAACTTAAATTCGGACAAATCTATTCGCTATCAATGTTGATTTGCCTGCACTAACAATGTTATTATTCACCTCCACAGATAGATGCAAAAGAACAGAATATATTTTCTTTATTCGCGCCTAATCAAGATGCTATGAACGAAGCGAAGAACATTATACAAGAAGCTTTAACAACGCAAGCCGAGCCGACGTTAATTTTCGGTGACATTTATACTGGCAAAATAATCGAAATCCGTGATTCCGGGGTTATGATTACGTTACATCCTCAGATGCAACCAATATTATTATCTAATTCGCAGTTAGACCGGCGTAAGGTACATCATCCCAGCGCACTCGGCTTCGAAGTTGGACAAGAGATACAAGTGAAATATTTCGGACGAGATCCGGTTAACGGACAAGTTAGGTTATCGCGTAAAGTGTTACAAGAACCAGTTTCCAACACGCAGAATTTCTTTCCGAAGTTAGACGATAACAATTAATATCAAACGCCTTAAATTTTCAATTTCGTAAACGGATTAATCTCTACTCCGACAAGACAATTTCCATTTTAAGACTGAGCATTAAATACGTGTGAATGTGGACATCGTTAAGTGTTTAGTTTATAGAATTTCTTAGAGTTTTCTGTTGAATATTCTGTATCGTTTTAACAGTACAATGTAAATAATATTTTATACAGACCACTAAAATGGTTGGAACATTATTACACTTAATTGCATGTTTCTTGAAATGTTTCACTATTTGCCGGGCCCGTATAAAATGATACGTCGTTCAGTCACGTGAATTTGAGGAGTTACGAACGAAGAATGGGCACAATGATTATTCAGGATCATACTTCAGCCGATATCATCAAAATGTCAACAAGGGTAAAACTTCAACGATAATGGCTTTGAGGTTTATCTATCAAAAGCTTTTCAAACGAACATCCACCTTTGTTCTCGGCGCAGTCGTTTCCTCGATCTTCTTCGAGAGAGCTTACGATCACGCATGCGAAAGTATCTTCGAATGGATAAACGAAGGAGTACGTCACCCATTTACGTATTATTACCGATGAAAATTGTCACGAATATATTACGTCATAATTCCGAATTTTACAATGTACAATTGCAAAAGTGAATAATTTACGATTATTTTTAACACGAGTTTCTATAGTTGAATTATTGTAAAATAAAATTAAATACGGAATTGGATATCTTCGTCGATCAGCGTTGTTATAATTAAATGAAATTAACGCGAAAAAGGAACGCGTCGATCGTCGATAGAAGCATCGTTCAAATTCACGAATCTCTTGTACGTTGTTTCTTTCTCTACAGAGACTTTGGATGCACATAAAAGATCGGTACGAAGATCGGTCGCAGCAGTTGCGCTACGACAGGCGTCGGTTAACCCAAGAAGCGTCATCCAATAAAACAATGGAATCCAACGAGGCTAAGATGGACAACTCGCGGGTGGAATTAAGCGAAAGCAAAACGCAGGATTGAATGGAATTATCGTGAGCCAGGATGCTGCTGACTCGGTTTTCGGTTCGGGTGTCGGTTTTCATGGTCTGCTCTTTTTGCAACGCGAGCCTTTAGCGACAAAGAACACAACGCGTTAGAGTCGAAGTTCAATAATAATCGCATCATGCGCATTACATTACATTAAACCTCATCTTAAATCTTACGGTGAATATGAATTACAATAATACAATTAAATAAATCAATTAAAGCTTAAACCTAATTTCAAACGAAACGTCGGTTCTCGGGTTCTTCTTTGAAAATTGCACACTTTGATGCCATCCAAACTCTCTACGAGTTGGTTTGTCCAATCCTTTGCACTCCAAGTCCTTCTTTTACTTACGGGCTGAACACTCTGAGACATTCTTCATTTTAAGCGTACGACGACGGTTAAACTTCCGTTTTGCTGAAAAACGAGGTGTTTATGTTATTACGAATCAGTTTAATAAAAACAATTCTGAGGCTGATATAGGCACTTCATGTTTGGCTGATCGATCAACCGAAACATCTGAATATTTCAACTCTGCTTGTTGACATGTCGTTTCGACTGTTTGTCAACGTGCCTTTTCGAAGTTTAACGGTTACGTGCATCTACGATTATACTATTTTGTTAAGTACAATAAAATCAGATCATATAATAATAATAGTAATAATAATGATAGTAATAATAATAATAATATTCGTAAAAATTTGTAGCATTGCATTAATATTGTCTCATTGATATCTACCACCACTGAACAATGATTACATTAGCCCAGCCATCGAGCTTCATGGCTTGATGAAGAGACTTGTCTCTCAGTGGTGGCGATGATGACTGTATTATATAATCTTGGATATGCGATTGGGTACTAATCGCGAGTATATACTCCGTATTGTAACGTCTTGGTGCTCTCGCGCATTTACTTCGACTCTTGTTTGCTGAACTTTTCAATAGCGATACCTGACTTCACTGTTATCAGGCTGATATATAAGGCATGAGTTAGTTTGGACATGACATAAACGCTTCACATCGCCAAGGCATATCCTTCCCTCGTGTGCTCTTGTGAGACAAAGTTTTCTGCAATCCGCCGTCACTGACGAAATATCAGTTAACTGACGAAATATAAGTTAACTGTTGAAATATCTTGTTAACCAGGTACTAATCTGCGACCAAGACACCAGGTATCGTAACAAATTTATTTATTTTTTTGTCCGATCATATTTTTTGTTGCCGTGCAACGCAGAATTTTAAGTCACATTGTAGAACGTTTCGCGGGGGAGATATCGCAATTAATCGGAGAAACTCGTAGTTTCTAACAAAACCAACAATAGCCGTTTACTAACGTCCGAAAGGAAATAACGAAAGACTACAACTAAACAAATCGGCACTAAACTCTCGCTTAAAACTCTCACGCTAAACTTATCTGTCGTCGAAGATCCACGCAGTTTTGCCTTGCACCACGAATCGCTCTTTCTTTCTTATCACGCGCATCCCTTTTTACTCGCACTCTGACCCTTGCACCCATAGCCGAAACTCACTGCGTTTTCTCGCCCGATTTTCACGGCCCTAGTCGCTCGGTTCTTTTCTACAACGCGGTCACTCGGATTTCTAAACATATCTATTCTAAATAATATTTTGAAACCGGGCATTTGATCGATCAACTACGTTTAGTGTTAAGTAGTTTCGAAAATAAAAATGGGCTCTGAAGGCTTCATGACTATCAAACATTTAGAAAGTACGTTCGAATTCCACTCCTAGTTAAAATTATTTAACTGTTTGCTTGTATCGTGGTTTCAGATTTCGGTAGCCATGAAACTGTCGGTCGCTGCCACAGCAATACTGAACCTCCTATCGTGCGTGTTAGGCACACTGACGGAACTAAACAGTTATGAGTACCCAGAAAACTCGGAGGACTGCAGAAACTTTACTACAGCAACTATGCAGCTGAATAGCGATATAATAGAATATATCACTATCCCAACTATAGAATGTTTGACTATCAAAAACAGTGGAATTAGTGTAATCCGTACAGGAGCCTTTAGTTTTATACCAAACTTAAAGTATTTGGATCTCAGTAATAATAAAATTCCTTCTCGTGATTTGATGTCCTTCGGAAGCCTTCCGACACTTAGAACGTTGATAATTAACAATCAAGTTTCGTATTCTTATGACTTATTAACGATAACGAATCCATATCCGGAGCTTCGATATTTAAGCTTGAGAAACAGTAATATCAGAACAGTAATCTTTTCACAGACAAATGCTTTACCGAAACTAACGCACCTCGATATATCACAAAACAAGATTTCCGATATAAATCTGAATCCCTGTGAATTCAAAAGTTTGACGCACCTGAATTTAAGCCACAATGACATATATTCCTTGGGTATACAATCTCTAAACAATTTATCGTGGTTATCTTTAAACAAAAATAGACTTAGCTATATATATTTTGATTTTCATGGAATGCAGAGTTTAATGTATCTTTCAATAAGGCAAAATAAAATACGGCAAATATCCACCGACGCGTTTGCAGATCTCGTGAATCTTCGTTACTTGGACATGTCCTCGAATCAACTACAAACGTTGTTTAGTACGACGATGGGGAATTTGACGTCGCTGGAGGTTCTTCTGTTAGATTCCAATTTGCTGGACGACTTACCCTCAATGTTGCCCAGGAACCTAACAACGCTCTCGGCGAAGGATAACAAATTGAATGTTCTGACAATGTCTGTGTTCCACGATCTGCCGAACCTGAGGACGCTGGACTTGGGCTGGAACAACATTTCGTACCTGTCCGAGGGCACGTTCCAGAATCAGAAGCTGTTAGAGGAACTGAATTTGAATGACAATCAGCTGACTCATCTGCCACACGATTTCTACCAAAATTTTGAACAGCTTCGCCGCTTGGACTTGTCGAGGAATCACATTACGCGCCTGGAGAACGTATTACTGCCGAATATGCTCAGTGTGCAGCACTTGTACATAATTGATAACCCTATCGGTTTAGTGACTTCCAATACACTCAAAGGAATTCCTGACAACCTGACGATTCATTTGATCAACGAGAAGTATGATAAAGGTACCGCGCTGATTGACACCACTGATTGACACAGAGAGCTGTATTTGATAATAGAAACTATATTTTATCCTAGAATATTCGAATCTACATAAAGCCCCGTAGTTTAAAGGTCAAAGTGTATATTAGGTTGGAAGATATATTCAACGTTGAAATGTCTGATACTGAACGGAAAATAAAGGTTCATTGACATTTTGCAGAGAAACTATTATGTTATGGTTATTTCTACTCCTTCCCCCGGTCTTCCTGCGATTTCGGAATTGTCACTGCATCGAGTGCTTCGAGGTTCCTCTTGAGTTTCCCAAAGACGAGTAATATCGGTAACAATGATTAACTACTTGATATAAAAATTCTTAAGAACATTTACTTTTCAAGTTATTGCGGATATCTATTGATTTTAAGGTACCGACAATTGCGAAATAAGAAATCTACAACCCGTCACTTTGCCGAGTGTTCCAGTGTTAAATTCAGTTATATAACGTTCTCACGTTACGGAGATAGACATCGACCTTAAACCGCGGAATCGTCCTATTGCCATCCAATATATCCAATTGCTGATAATGATACGACTCCCCAATCGTTCCGTTATCATTTCGCCGTTATCAGAAGTACGTACATACATAAGGAGGTGCTACATTCGAGACCGAAGAAAGCAGCTGTAGCCGTAGGTAGGACACGCCTAGGAATCCGTTCTATATACTTCTGTAAGTACACGCATTAAGAGAAACAAATAAGAAATCGTTTCGCGACGGCGACAGAAAAATCGATAGCCGCCGATAAATGTCCCGCGAAAGTTCACGAACAATCGCGAGGAAGCTTCCACGTTCAATTCGCTCCGTGAACTCTTCAGGAACTGTTGATCGTCACTTTCACCCGTTCCCTGTAACCGAAGATAGCTACCAGAGACACCGGATCGTCAGCGAATCGTGACAAACCGGGCAACATTCCCCGAGGAAACCGATTTTCCACCGTAGCTCTTTTTGCGGAACCGTTTAGCGAAAGTTCATTCTGTCCTGACGCGCGTAAAACGAATCGATTCGAGATGTGCACAGTGCTACTGTCATCGCGTTCAAAATATCCCACTCGGCGGCTCGCAAATGAAGAGATCATTACGGAAACAGGAAACTATACAAACTTGACCATTTTACCACTAAAATCCGCAGTCTACTGATCAGAACGCAACTCTACCGAATAGAAAACCCCGCTGAACCGCGCATTCGTCCGATTCGTCCATACCGCCTAAAGTGAAGGGTTGAACCAGTTCGATCGCTAGTCTTTCAGAGTTCGTCACGGCCTGCAAGCCATGAACCTCCTGATCGCCGCGTTGGCGTTGCTGGCGGCAGCACCAGCCTTGGCATCAGCTAGGGCGATCGAGTTCATGCTGGAATACGAAGACGACTACTATTCCGACTGCGAGAATTATACGCTAACGCTACAACTATCCAGCAGCCAGTTGGAGAAAGGGTTCATCTCTTCAGCAACGGTGAGATGCTTGCTGGTGCAAGGCGGCCTCGTCGACTACGTGGCCGACGGCGCGTTCGAGCAGATGCTCAGCCTCAAGCACCTAGACCTCCGTGGAAACAGGATCACTCCAGGCAACTTGTTCTCCTATGGGAATTTGACGTCAGTTAGAACCTTGCTGCTGAGCAACCAGACCGTCGGGTATTACGGTAGAGCGGCTTACGTGAAGAGCCTGTATCCGCAGCTCAGGCACCTGGACCTGAGCAACACCGGCTTGGACGGGGTGAGCAGCGCGTACACCGAGCCCTTCCCACAGCTCAGACATTTGGACCTGTCTATCAACAAGATCGTCTACCCGGACTTCACCAGCCTGCTGCCGCAATCCTTGACCCATCTCCTGCTGAACGGAAATAGCATCTCACGGTTCTCTGCGAAGAAGCTGACCAACCTCACCTTCCTGCAGTTAGATAACAATAATATCGCAGCTCTAGGCAACGGTTACTACTCGCTTGAATTGGCCAACATGTTCAGCTTAAGGTACCTCTCCGTTGCGAACAATCGCATCTCCACCATTCACCGGGACACGTTCAACGACACCGTGCACCTCCGTCATTTGGACCTCTCCTACAACGCTCTGTCGCGCCTGGAACCAGCCACCATAGTCAGCCTGCAGCAGCTGGAGATCCTCATTCTGGACGGCAACTCGTTCGAAGACATCCCCGCCACGGATATAATGAACCTTACCACCCTGTCGATGAATTGCAACAAAATAACACGTTTGACGGTCAATCCGCTACTGAACCTGCCGTACCTGAGGACGCTATATCTAGGCGGCAACCGGATCTCCAACGTGAACGCGTTCTCGTTCCGCTTCCAGACCAACCTGCAGGTGCTGTACTTGAACGATAACCATTTGAGCTCCCTGCCAAATGACTGGGCCACCCAACTGAAGAACCTGAAGCGACTGGACCTGTCCGGCAACCGATTCATGTTGCTGGATTTCGCGGTGCAGTCCATGCCGTCCACGCTGACGCATGTTTACTTCGAGAGGAATCCTCTGCAGTACGTTAATACCGCTGCCATGCGGTCCACTCCGGGGAACTTCACCATTTATATGCAACCGGAAGCGGGCAGAGTTGCACGGTGCAAGATGTTCGATGGTAAAGTCGTTGGTAGGTGAAATGCGGTTGTATCTCGACGATTAATGACCGGTATCACTAATCTCTCCAGTCTATGGTTGTCTGTTCCTCGGTTTTCCTTTTATTTTATGGTGTCTTCGTCTTTACTTTTAAGTGTTTCGTTCTTATGTTTTCGTTCCCTTTATGAGCTTCTCGAATGTGAGTTATTCGAAATATTTCTTTCGTCGAATGTTATCCAGCACTGGATGGGGACGACGAGGAGGGACTGGAGCGACTAGACGCCACGGGGTCGCTCTCACCGGGCAAGACGATGGGAAGTGAATCCTCGCCGGTTGCAGGCAGCGTCGAGCAATAATCAATGAATATCTAGTGCAAACTGATCAATCGATTGAACGGAACAAATTGTTCGCATGGATCGCGATGGAATTCAGTTGCGACTGTTAACCGCAGTTAATCCGAAACAATTGAATCGTCAATTGTGATTTTAAGCCTGAAAACGTTTCATAGTCTTTCCGACGGAACAGTCGAGAGACGTGTTGTATCGAATGCTGACGGGAGATGATAAAGTTATGTAATTAAAAAAATTGTTTAAATTCGAGAAACATCATTATGATCTTACAATGATTACACTGCGTTGCATAATACAAATTAGATAATAAATGCGTAAAATAAATGTCAGATGTTTGTTTCTTGCCGTTCTGTTGGTGTTGCAGCCCACGGATGCGTTGCACTTGTTGCACCCTAGGGTTGGCTCGGCCCTGGGGATTATCATAATTATCATTACTTTAAATTCTGATAGTATCAAACAACGTATCGAAACTTCGTACATAGATCACTGATATATTCTTGGCTATATTTGTCGAGAGCTACTTATCTTCGATGTGTATTTTAACACTCGACCTACCGTGCCAGTCGAAATGACTGGTTCCGATTTGTTTGTTTCGCAATTGTTGATATCTTAAGAGCATCGAATATTCGAAATGATCTTGGAATTAAGTAGCTTCACTTGAATACTATAATGAATGCCCGGAGAAACTGGAAATAATTTATTGCCACAATTTTCATTCGGATTACATATTAATCATATTAAATGCTCGGTTGTTCTAGAGTTGGAGTGCACGTTTATCGCACATAAACGACCTTTAACTCGGTTTTCGATGACCACGCACGAATGATTGTTATTGAACAGCGGATTCTGCGTTTATTAGAAACGCGAGTGCGCGGAATGCATTTTATCTTTAACTTTATTATTTCCTCTTCGTATCTTTCCGTTGCAAACGATGCTTTTGCTTTATCGCATCGTTTTCAACAATTTTTATTTCAGGTACAGATACTCCGTTTATACGTTGGAACAGATAGCGAATTATATTAACGTCACGAATACGAGTGCGCAGAATATAAGGTTGCAGAACGTAATCAATGAATTTCCAACTTATTGCGATTCCGAAGAAAAGAAATTAGTTCCTACTTTATCCTCGTTTCTTCTTAAATCTAATAAATTACTACGTCGCTACTATTATTATCTCTATAAGAACAATGATAACAAATACATTATCGTATATATTATATAATTAGAATATTATTATCATTATTGTTACTACTGTAATTATTATTATAATTATTGTTATCATTATATTATTATTATTGTTATTTCGATTAATAATATTAACGCAGTTCAATGAAACAAGTAACTCGTTCGGCGCGTTGATGGCTGTCCGATAGATAAAGTGTTAAGGAAAGGACTTAGTTCCTATGAAACTCTCGTTTATTAACATTACTTCATGATATTCTCATTTATCACCCACGCATGGATTCTTGGGTGAATTAACGATGATTTTATTCGGGACAGAGCCGTGTTTTATGAAACTGGCCTTCTAGATCAGAGTGCGCCGATTTCAAAGCGTTCGCGTTTACGGCGACCGAAAATAAAGCGCACTTTGTATAGACGTTTACCAACAGTCAATTCAGCGGAAATTATTCAACGTGATTGCTGGTTGACTCGATACGATAAACTCAGAAGAAGTAGAGGGGATAACGTTCATTTTCGGAGCCTTATAAGATGCATCCCGATCGTCCGGATGCAGATTTAGCTAAAAGATCTACCGAGTCCCTTTCTTGCTGTTCCTCAGAAATCTACAACATCAACATGGCTGTCAGGTGCGTATCCAGTTTTTCATTTATTTATTGGCATAAACGGGTGACTCCTTCGATCCCTTTGCACTCGAGAGATGATTCACGGTTGCCCATAACGAATTCGATGATCTGCATCAAATTTCACGCAACGCTGTTGGACATGAAACATCGACGGAATACAGAAACTTCTGTGCGAGAGGTTAAAGGAAGGCCAGTTCGATTGTTGGATAGTTCTAATGTTGACAAACGTAGTATTCGATAATTCTGTACATCGGTTCGTGTATTATTTCTGTTTAACCCTTTGCGCCCCTATGTCGAGCGTGACTCGACATCAGTATTATTCATCGGTCATTCACCGGTTATTCTCAATGCTGTTACTAAGAAAAATCGTTTAGACTGATCTCTACGAATTAAATTATTTTTTATGTAATAACGTAGAGTTACCGAGGAAAAAATGCGAAAGAAATTCGGCGTCCAGAGAGGTAACACGATCGATAACTTAATCAATGTTACATTAGAAAATGATGAATATTCCCGGGGTGGGAAGTTTCGAGTGTGAGAGGTCGACGAAACGTTCATTCGGTTGCACATGCTTCTAGTATTGACAAACATCCGGCAGATTAATGTTTCTCTAACGGGTGTTTGACAATCGCCGCGACATTTGATTCGAGTGGCCGTCTTATCGGATTGTTTTCATCGATCGTTAGCAGAAATAGCGTATCGTTTAGATAAAACTTTTTCAAAACTGTCGTCGAGTGCCGTGGTCACGCGGACAAATTGTTGACGACGATTACTGCGTTGCGAAACACAGTTTCGATCCGGGAAAGGAAAATTACTTTCACGCTCTCCGCCGGAACGATCGCTGGGCTGCGGATATTTACGCGTTTATGGGAAATTCAACGGTCCGAATTAGGTTGGAATCGAACGAGACGAATCCGCGCCGCTCCTTCTGACATTTCTCGCGAAAAATCATTTTCCATCGTAGTTCTATTTTCCTAATCTCCAAGCGATACAGCCGATTCGCGAGAGTCGCAAGTGCGCGAAGGCCCTTTCCACCTTTCAATTGTATCACGTGCGACGCACCAGCACTGCAATTAGAGGTTCTGTTTCTGTCTGTGCTTCAGCTTTGATTTATAATTCGCCAGCCGCGGTGTAACACTCAGAGGCCATTGAAAATTTTATCTTGCGCATAGTTGTTCCGCGGTCTAACGATCACACATTGTACAGATTCTTTGCGGTCGGAAAATGCCTACTTGTTATTCTCGCGTAACTTCGTCATAAAAATCCGCCGGAAGTCCCTACGGGGCGAACTGCAAATTACAGTGGAGTCAATGAAAAGAAAGAGAAATAAAAGAGAAAAACGATCGCACCGATCGGTCTTCTTGTCGCTAAGAAGTTCGTTGCAGTAGTTCAAACGTTGAAGATCTGTTCCGCGCTACAACCGATGGTTTTCTTCTTTTTCCAGATTTTACAGCTTCACGTTACTTTCCATCGCGTTGATCCCGGACGCGTTCACCATTCGGATCGTATCGTTCGATTCGAAAATGAATTACCACCCGGACAAGTTTGATGATAATATCATCAGACGTTTCTACGCAGACAAGTGCCCCGACGAGGATGGCGTTTCATACAGCAATCTGAATCTTACGACAATACCAAAGAAAAGTATAGTCAGCAAACACATCAAATCCGTCTCTCTATTCGGCAACCAGCTCACGAAGATACCCGTTCAAATTTTCGCCGACGCTCCAAATATAGAATGCATGGACCTGGCGAACAACAACATTTTGAGTTACGAGATGCCGTTAGGTTCCGGGCACAGCCAATTGAAAAAGCTGATCCTGAACTATCAGAGAACATGCGGTCATGCAGAGTTATTTTCAAGGCTGGGCGAATACTTTCCGAACTTGGAGGTTCTTCACCTGAATGGAATTCACAGAGAACCCTGTGACCCACGCAACAAATTACCAGACTTATCAAGAAACAAGCATTCGCTTGTTCGCCTCCATATGCTATACCTCGCAGATAACCAGCTGTCTGACCCTGATGTCATACTTAACAGTATCATGCCCATAACGGTGAGAACGTTGCATCTCGAAAATAATCTTATCTCTAGTTTCAAGGTATTAAATCTAAACAGCTTGGAGGAATTGCATTTAGACGGGAATTCTATTCGTGATTTTACACTTGAGTTTGACAGAAATCTGAAAAAATTATCGCTGCGCCGATGCAACTTGAGCGACTCGTCTAACGTGATGTTGAACGCGATCTCGTTAGAAACGCTAGATTTGTCGGATAACATGTTCCAGAGTTCGCTCCATTTATCAGAGGAGTTGTTGGGGAACGTGCCAAATTTAGTAGAACTGGCATTGAGGCATAACAAGTTAACGGAAGTGCCGGACCTGCAACACCTAGGGGAACTGAAGAAACTATCGCTGAGCCATAATTCGATAAAGACCGTCAGACAGGTGACGACCACTTCCCTTGAAATACTGAGCCTCCGAAGGAATGAAATAAGCGAAATCGAGGTGGACGCTTTCTCGAAGCATTCCTACCTGAAGGAGCTTGACCTGTCGTATAACAGGTTGCAATACCTGCCACACGAATGGTCGTATGGGCTGACGCAGCTGGAATTCCTGAGTCTAAGGGGTAACCTGTTCTCAACCGTGGCACATATGGAACTCCCGCCAACGCTGAAGCATTTGTACGTCGAACAGAATTCTATGGGAAGCATCGATGAGAATTCTATACAGACCCTACCTGTCGATTGTAATATACATGTGGCGTAGGTTCGGTTTATTCGATTATTCCTAGTTTCCTCCCAAGTTTGTACGGTAGTCCTCGTAGTTTTAGTAGACTCTCAGAACTGCTTGACCGTTGACACTTTACCAGAAGAAACGACGAGTTTGATGTTTCCCTTATGCCCGCGTTTACTGCGATGATCGTCGACGTCAGGAGAACAATATTATTCCCAAAATTTAAGCGTCCCAGTGATCCGAGCTTTCGACATTTCTCAATTCCGAATTTGTACGCTCTCGACGTTCCGGCGTCGCAACGTTCCGAACCTTCGAAGTCGACGATTCTCATGGTTCCCAGCATTCGTATTTCCAAGTTCCCGCGACACTGCACCGCGGCGTTTCTCGGAGATGCATCAGGACTCGCGATCTGCTTATCGTTGATCGTTCGCTGGCCACTGAATCTCGCCGAATAGAACCGTCGGTTCGATTACGTAAGTGTCTAATGAATATAGGAACTATCCCGGACGAGGCCCCAGTATTGTAGGAATTATCCTGGGAGAGTCTTAAAGGTGGTGAGATATTCCCTTACAAGTCGCAAGATCTTTACAGATCACTAAACGCTCGCTCGCCGATTACGCAAAGTCTCGCGCTAACGCCTCCCTCCGTTATCTCGCACAAAATATCCCTCGCCCACGCATTCCCACTCGCTTTCAACGCGCACCCCCATTCGCTCTGTCTTTCTCACCCTTGCACCCTTCTCACTGGCATCTTCCGTCCATAGTCAAAGTTCACGCAGTTACGTGCACGCTTTTCTCACGGTCCAGTCGCTCGGTTCCAGACACTCTTCCTCGCATTCTTTCGGCCACTCAGGGTTTTCCAAACGCAGTCACACTGTTCTCCAAACAACCCGGCGCCCTTACGCACGCACGCACAACGAACCATTCATCCCACATAAGTAATATCGTCCAGAACGTCTGCGGCGATAACCTCCGGAATCTAATCTCTGTGGTATTAAGTGTGCGCTACCGAGAAGCGTGGTGCGTGCTAAATTGTTTTGTATCGTTAGTATGCGTATATGTTTATAGACTAGATTGCCAATAAATAAGCAATCGTATTATTGTATTATTATTATTACTATTATCATTAAAGCGATAACTCTTATTACTTATTATATTATTAACATTCGATACCGCGATTTATAGATTACGTACATTTCGAATATTCGAATGTAATAAAGAAATAAATAAACAATAGATGCATACGATAATCGAATATCGTACGTTTTTTCACCCTACGCGAATGAAGTAACTGGCAACGACGGATTGGCGATTTAGTAACAGTATCTAAGTGTACGATGGGTACTAAGTATTCAAGTGATTTCACTCGAGTATCCGAGGTGTCCGAGCAAAGTTGTTGTCCAGAGTCGAAGAAAAGGAACGAGGTTCTCCTATCGTTTCCCTGCGACGCGTCATCCATTTTCTGTCGCGTTCACCGGCCGCGAACGAACCGTTCGGACCAGATACGCACACGTTACAACCACTGCGACACTCTTGTAAACCTGAGCCCTGCAGAGATAGTCTTGCCGGAACAATTCACCTTCTCAGCAATTATTTAAAACTAAGGGCCGAGCCAACAGCTATTTTTCGCCCTCAACTTTGTCCAAGTTTTTTATTATGCGACGTGATCCGCGACAAAACGGCGGCGAGACGTGAGAAAATCGATCTTTACCTTTACACCGTACCTTCTTGTAGTAAAAATTATTTGCATTTTGCGAGGAGACCAGGTTGGTTAAAGTACAGTCACTGAATAATGATAATTTAAGGGGAATATCTGTCGAGTATGTCTAAGGTTCCGAGGCTCCAAAGTTTTAAAGTTTCAAAATTCCCAAGCTCCGAAGTACCAAATTGCCAAAGTGCCAATGTTCCAAAGTTTAGGAATTTCGAAGTTACATAGTTTCAAAGCTTCAAAGCTCCAAAGTTCCATAGTTCCACAGTTTAGAAGTTTCGAAGTTACACAGTTTCAAAACTTCAAAATTCCAAAGCTCCAAAGTTCCACAGTTCCAAAGTTTAGAAATTTCGAAGTTACACAGTTTAAAAACTTCAAAATTCCAAAGCTCTAAAGTTCCACAGTTCCACAGTTCCACAGTTCCACAGTTCCACAGTTCCAAAATTTCAAAACTTCAAAGTTCCAAAGTACCAATGTCCCACAAGTTCCAAAGTTTAAAAATTTCGAAGTTCCACAGTTCCACAGTTCCAAAATTTAAAAACTTCAAAGTTCCAAAGTACCAATGTCCCACAGTTTCAAAGTTTAAAAATTTCGAAGTTACAAAGTTTCAACGTTTCAAAGCTCCAAGGCTCCGAACTCCACAACTCCAAAGTTCCGGAGTTCAAATGCTCCGAAGTTGCAAGAATTTCAAACTTTTCAACCTTCGAAACGTAGTCAGTCAGAATTGTGCGACACGAGAAAAGTGTCTGCGATAGTTCCTCGAGGCGCCAAGAATTCGGTCACGGTCCTGGGACCGCGCCGGTGTAAAATTTCCTTGGACTTATCGCTACTATATAACCGGCCCCGTTTGAGTCAGCAGGACACAAAGCATCGAGTCGTCCGTACCGTTTAATTCAAACGGGGGTGTCCGCGCGTTTCGAGAAATATTCGAGGTCGATCCGTTCGAGTTTCTGTTCTGCAAGCCGCGTAAGTATAACAACAGGTGGTCTAAAGAGAGATCGTTCAGATCTTCGGTCAGTCCTAGGCTAACTAGCCTTTCTGCTCCAAGAAAGCTACAATGTTCCACAGAACTAACACGAATTTTACAGGATTCAACAATCGAACAGACGTAAAATAGTTTTTAAAGTTTGTTCCACTGTAAATATTCATTATTTTCTTAATGAACTGTCGATAACGTTTTCACCGCGCCAACTAGCGTAAAGAAAGATGGCAGACGAATCGAGTGATGGAACTCTTTCATTTCGATAGTTCATGTGTTATTAGATCATAGAAAGTTTGATATCGAAAAATGCGAATTTTGTGATATTGTTACACCAAATGAAATGGCAACGGTAAGTCGTTTCTCGAGTGGTAGCGATTATAAGCCGATCTTTGATTCGGTGTGTTCACAGATGGCGATGTGTCTACGATGTGTCACCGTTACGTTGTTGCTCGGTTTGCTGGCTGCCAATTATAATAGTAGCAATCTTGTGGAGGGTTTTAGCGGTGAATCCAACAATAACATTGTACCTAACAATTATGAGATACGATATTCGGACTTCTATGAATCACCTCACGACTTATCCGTCTATCATCCAACTCCCAGCAAACCGTCTCCGCCTACAAAAACGGCCACCACCACTGAATCTCCAGTTGATTGCAGGCACCCCAATGTGGAGCTGCGTTTCACGCGATCAGGCCTGCGGAGGATCAGCGTTGGGTCCTTCAGTAGCCCGGCAGTGGTCAAGCTGCACCTGGACGACAACAATATCACCGAGGTGACATTAGTAATGCGTTATCAATGTTTCGAATCGTTTCGAATCTGTACACGTGGCGAAACATTTGAATCGCCTCAAATTGAACGCGGTATTCTCTAATTTTTCGATGTCTCGATATTCGTGGAGTCCGCAAAATCACAAAGTCTCTTAAAGTCCCAAACTCTCAAACTTTCAAAGTTCCGAAACTTTAAAGTCCCGAAGTCTTAAGGTCCTAAGCTCTCTAAGTTTCGAAATTTCAAAGTCTCGCAGTCTCGAAGTGCCCAAGTCGTTAACTCTTCAACACCCAAAGCTTGAAAATCTGAAAGTCTTAAAGTCTAGTGTCAAAGTCCCAAACTCTCAAACTTTCAAAGTTCCGAAACTTTAAAGTCCCGAAGTCCTAAGCTGTCTAAGTTTCGAAGTTTCAAAGTCTCGCGGTCTCAAACTCTCGAGCTCAGAAACTCTCAAACGCTCGCGAATCCTATCGAAACATTACCATTCCCGAAATGATCGAACGGTTTTGAAACTGAGATTCAAATCCTCATTATCAGGTGTCATGCGGCGCGTTCGAAACGCTCCCGAATTTGAGGATATTGAACATGTCCGCCAACGAGATCTCTACCTCTAGGCTCCTCTCGTTCGGGAAACACGACTTCTTGCGCGTCTTGTATCTAGACAGCAACAAGTATCGTGAAGAGAACGCAGAATTGTCGGAGATCTGCGGCTCGTTGCCGCAACTGCAGGAGCTGTATCTGAGAAACGACGGTATCTCGCGTTTCGGCGTCGCGATAACGACTTTTGCGCCACGATTAAGACTCCTCCACCTGGACAGGAACCGGATAGAGTCGACGGAATTCCTCGTGAACGTACCCGTTTCGCTGGCGTATCTGCACATGGATGACAACCGGATACCGAGGATCGAGAAAAATCATCTTAAGAACGTCGAGGAACTATCTGTAAGCGGGAACGCGATCACCCAGTTGTGCAGGTAGCGATGTGCCTATGATCGTTTTGAATCACTTAGCGCAGACTTCGATACCTTTCAATTCTTGAACGTCTCGCAGGTCTCGAGTTTTGTGCTCTCAAAGTTTCACAGTTTCAAAGCTTCGAAGTCTCGCAGTCCCAGAACCAGGAACTCCCCAATCCCCAAGCTGTCAAGCTCCTAAACTGCCAAATCTAAGATTCAAATGCCTATACACAGGAGCGACTGCGATGGGAACTCGTCCGTGCTCTTCCTAGACGGCGCGGTTAGGCTGAGGAAGCTAAACGCGTCCCGGAACCTCATCACGTACGTCGCGGAGGACGCATTCAAGGACGCGAAGGCCCTTCAACAGTTGGACCTGTCCGGCAATAGAATAGAAAAATTCGCGAGCTTCGTGTTCCATACGTTAGAGATGATCACGGATTTGCGGCTGAGCAACAACCGTCTGACGTCGGTACCGAGCATCAGCTCGTTGGTGCATTTGAGACATCTGGATCTTAGCGGCAACCAGATCATCACCATTTCATGCGAGAGCTTCCAGTTCCTGAAGAAATTGGAAACGCTGCTGCTCGCCAACAACCTTTTGAACAGGATGTCGGTGGACCATTTCAAAAAGATGATCAGTTTGCGGACGATGGACCTGTCGGGCAACCAGTTCATAGATCTGCCCACAAAACTGTTAAGCAATTCGCCGTCGCTGAGGGTGTTGCGTTTTAGGAACAACAAGATCAAGGACCTTGCCCCGCTTAGGGAGGAGCAGTCCAGCAGCATTTTCGAGCTGCATCTTCAGGAAAATCCGCTGCTACATGTGAGGGTGGCTATGTTGCACCCTGGTCGACTGCCGCACCTGGTGCTGTACTTGAAGGACGCGAACGAGAGATATTGCGCAGACGACGACGATGAAGGGAATAAGGACGATGATAAGGACAGCGACGAGGTAACCATTCGCATAAATAACTTTATAGGAATTTTATAGAAATTTCGAAAAAGATTGAAAAGTTTTCAAGGAGTTCACATAAACAGCTTTGGATGCGTTCGACGAGAACCTGTTAATTGTTTGTTGCGACTCGCTGAGTTCCTTCAGCTTCTTCGGCTTTGAGATGTCATTTGTCGAAATCTCCATTGATTTATATTTCAGTTTTGATAAGCGCGTAGTTAGACTTTTGACTGTCTCTCGAAAAAGCGTCCGTAGCCTTTCCAATAATCGTAAAAGCCACCAAGAACGGGGCATCCTGTCCCAAAATGGCGGTTCTGGTGTTGAACGGCTGTGCAACTCGAAACACAGAAGCTTCGTCACTGGAATGATTTGCCTGAGAGATATTTATTTCGATATTACAGGATAGTTGGACATAACGTTCCCCGTTTCTAAGTATCCCGATGCGACTGCAATTGGACCGGACCGCATTCGGAACATTTAAGCGACGATCGACGACAATCGGTGGCCACCGACTCGAATGATTATTCATCCGCTTTAACAGTATTAATTACTATTAATCATTGTCAATTATTAATCTGCCTTGATGCCGGCGTCCATGTACGAAGAGCGCCGAAGAGACGAAATAAACATTGATCATGAATAACAATTGTATTGTCGAATTTTTCTACAAGTTTCCCGCACGAGTCCATCTTATCGTTGCCTCAGCCCAGACTCAACTCGAACTTGAAACGAATGGTCATTGTCTAAATTAGTATAAATATTTTTAAATTATTGGATCGTTAGTGTGAAGATTATTCGATTATTAGTAAACTAGTAATATCATTTGGTAATAAATCATTTTATAACATCATGTTATAAGGAAAATAAATCAATATGTCATACTGTGCAAATGCTTAAACGTGTTTCTTCCATGAAATATTCGTATCATCATTTTTTTAACACCATTAAATGCATCGTTTGTTAGAAACGTACGCTGAGTCGGTGAACTATAACCTTAAACGTTATCGTTCCGTTGTAAACAACGCTAGAAACACGATCTCGGAGATTCAAGACTCGTTTTCAGTATCCACGACGCGCGCCGCCAGGCTGTCCCTATTCTCTGTCTACAGCTGAAATGTCCCTAGACGGGGAAGCCCCTATTTCACGTTCTCGCTGCGATCGTTGCACACGTTGCGCTTTGACATTGTTCTGTCGTTTGAATCGAAGGAAGTTGTTGTATTACGTGAGTAGAATATTAGAATATTAGAATATTAGGATAACAGTTAGATATTAAAGTATTAGGATATTATGTATATTAAGGTATTAGAATGTTAGGATATTGGGATGTTAGAATATTAAGATTTAGAATGTTAGAATACTACTATAATAGGATATTAAGATATTAGAGTGTCAGGATATTAGGATATTAGAATGTTAGGATACTACGATAGTAGGATATTAAGATATTAAGATATTAAGATATTAAGATATTAGAGTGTTAGGATATTAGGATATTGGGCTATTATGATATTAAGATATTATGATATTAAGATATTAGAATGTTAGGATATTAGGGTATTAAAATATTAAAATATTAAAATATTAAAATATTAAAATATTAAAATATTAAAATATTAAAATATTAAAATATTAAAATATTAAAATATTACAGCATTAGAACATTAGGACATTAGAATAGTAGGATATGTTTTTTGACGTTCGACAAGCCCGGAACATTTTTTCACGACGAACCGGTTCACAATTGACTTTTTATTCGATTCGTGGCGTACTTTCGAAATCGACATTTTTATAATCCTCCACGTCATTTGTCACACTCGTCAACCTATATCTTTCTCGCGTTTCTCATGTACAGGGGATTCCCGGCTCTTCTTATTTCGATTTTCCATATCTCTGCAGAGACATCTAGGATTCTAACAGCAGCTTACCTCTTTGGACCTAGATGGCGACATGATCATGAACTTGCGATTCTCGGAGTGTAGACAAACGATGAGCAGAAACAACGATGACCTTCTGAAAGGGGTAAATGAAGCGTCTTGGTTGTTCAAGACGATCGAGTTTCTCGTCACGTTCCGTTAACTTAATAATCTACTTTGGGTTGTTGCATTTCAGATAGATGTATTTGAAAGTGCTGGGCGTTGAACGTGGATCACACGTTGAACAACGGAAACAAAGACGAAGAAGATGAAGAACAGGAGGAAGAAAAAGAAGAAGAAATCCGTAACTGCGATTGAAAACCTAGACACAGAACCCAAACTCTTCAGAATCAGTACCAATTAACATTCCAGGACCTTGGACCGCATCGAAGCTTAAGGTCCTAACGAGACCACATAAAGAGAGCACAGTTTAGAAGACCATAAGTCTGTTAATTCGTTTATTCCCTGAAACAGGTTGATTTGAACACAGCTTTCCCTGTTCTTTCACCGCCTTTACCTGCAACCATCGTGTCCAAGTAAAAATGACGAACTGCTCGGCGATCGACAACAAACTAAGAACCTACTGCCGACACCACTTCTGTCAGATGTCCTCCACTACCAAAATCGACATCGGCCGAAACAGCAGACGAAGCGTCAAAAGAAAATTGAACAGATGTACCATTCGGCATCCTAGGTTTAAGTTACTTCACCTCATGTTATTCCCGAAGCTCTAGTTCATAACTGAATCGGATCTAAATTCCGCTCAGCTACAAATGTGTAAAGATCGACTGAATAGTAGATACTACAAAACAAAATACCCTACACAGCTGATCACTGCTAAAAACGTCGAAGTCGTATTCTACCTAAAACGACGCTTCAAGCTGCACGACTGGACCGGTTCCGATGTTCTTCTCCAGCGATCGGTGATATCTTCGAAGCATTGAATATCAGGTACCTGGTTCATGCCCCGGATCAGCAGTCACTAATATAATTAACAAAATAATTCTTAATTGTCTTTTAATCTTACCAGTTAACACTAGAACTACCGTACCAGTCAAAACGACTGGTTTCGATTGTTTTGTTTAGCAATTATTAACATTTTCAAAGTATCGAATACTCGAAATGATTTTGAAATTAAATAGTTCCACTGGAGTACTATAATGAATGCCTGAAGGAACTGAAAGTAATTGTTACAATTTTTATAGGAATTGCATATTAATCGTATTAAATTCTCGGTAGTTCTAGTGTTAAAAACTTCTGGTGACTGATCCGGAGCACGCACCAGGTACCTAATATTCAATGCTTCGAAGATATTACTGATCGCTGGACAAGAACATCGGAACCAGTCCAGTCATGCAGCTGGATGACGCCAGTATCAGTGTGTCTTTAGCGCCTGATGAAGCCAGATGCGATGTCGGCGAAACGTTGGGAGCAAATTCCTACTGGCCCTCACCCGGAAACCACTCTGGAATGTAGCATCTACTACGCAAATAGCAAAAACCGGGGAAACCCGTTGCACCGTAGATGGGCCGGAACGCCATGGTGCCAGTGGACAGCGTCGAGGCAGCGATCGGGCGAAGAGGATGCTGCGAGGGTTGCCGTCCGGTCTGATCCTGTCTAGGCCGGCCGAGCCGGCTGAAGATGAGTACAGACACAAGGGGCGGCGGAGAGGCGAGCGAACACCCCCGGCGAGCATGGGTGTCGGTCGCGGCGCAGGAGGAGGGGGTGGCCGAATAGGAGGTGGAGACGCATGCGCGCGGCTGGCGTTCATTGGCAGGGATGCGACGAGGAGAGGCCGACTCAGCCGCGGGACAATGACAGCGAATCGCGGCAAGGGCCGGGGGAGGAGGACCAACGAACGGGGAGGGTTTGCTTGGGAGGGGAGGCATAGACGGAGACAGGTGGAACAGTGGTTGCCAACCAACGGGCAGCGTACCACAGGTGGTGCTTTATATTGTATTCTATAAACTATTCGGTCCTGCGATACGACACATCGGAGGATCCCTTAGTTGCAAACCGATCGTTTACCCTAGTGTCTACCAATACTTTTTTTGTGCCGTTACAGTATTACTATAATATTACTCATACAATACTAGTTATGTAGTCGGACAAGATTTTATGCAATCATAATATTACTATATATTAGTTCCAGTTGGAATTCTTACAATTATTTTCCAAGGTCAGTCGTATGTTCTGAATTGACTATTCGACTTTTTCAGTTAACGATTATACAATTAAATATAAGAAATGTCCATAACCGAGGAAAATGATTAGACTGAGAAAATAATTTTCAGTTAAAATTTCATGAAGGTGTCCCTTGACACCTTCGGTAGATACAGTGTTAACTCCCTGCAGTTTAACTTTGTTTTCCCCCGAGTTTAACTTCCATTCTAAGTAACGGTCACTCAATGACACCCACAGTCCGAAGCTGGGCACCCGATCATACTCTCACACGTTCCACGAGGAGACGTTCTGTAGGCAGATTAGGGGTCTTTGGTCTTAGTTTTGATCGGTCCGGTAATTCGTAAATCGTATCAATGAATAGTAAACTAACATCGCAAGAAAGTCGAGAACCGATCGAACTCAGTTTCCTTTGCGTAGCCGTCAATCATCCCTGCAATACAAGCCAGCGCACACGTTAACGTTAGAACTACCGAGCAGTAAAACTGATTATTCTGTATTTCCTTACATTCTGCTTCGTGTTCATCTAAATCAATTTATTGAATAATTTCTCAGAAGATCGTCCGCGCCTTTTCCATAATTGCGAAGTGTTAACACTAGAATTGCCGAATACTCAAACTAACTTCTGCAAATTTCGCGAGAGCCACAAACGTGTACCTACTAAGATTTCAATCGGCTTATACATCAATTTAGTCATTACTACATCAGTTTCCGCAGTAATTTCGGAAACAAGTATCTGCGCGTTTTCACTGATTCTAAAAGAAGAAATCGGGAATGTGTCATTGCGACCCATCCGGTAGTTCCAGTGTTATCACTTAAACTGACCTCTGAACATTCCTTCGTGAGAGCCACAAATGTGTAGTTACTAAGATTTCAATCGGCTTATACATCAATTTACTCATTACTAAATCATTTTCCGCAATAATCTGTGGAACAATTATCTCTGCGTAAACATCGTTTAGGCATCGCACGATAAGGAAAGCAAGAGAACCGCTGACACAGAGAAAGACGGGCATTGTTCATCATCGCGACCGACAGAGAGACGACCGACGGGGGTGTACTCCGCGAAGCCAGAAGAAGGAACGGGCGAGAAGAGGGTTGGCGCGCGAGGGAAGTAGGGGAATCGAAGGAGAATCGCGCAGCCACCGTTGAACGAGGACGGAAGAAGCGCGGCGTAGGTCTAGCCAGCCCGAGACTCTGCCTCCCACTACGTCCTTCCACCCCCTCCGCCTGACGGCCGCTCGAGGTTCTCTCTCTCCTCTTTCAGTGTTCGTTCGAACACGGTCCGGTACGGTTCTGTGTCGCCCGGTGCGCGCGCGAGGAAGGAGAGAGTGTCCTGTTCGTGATGGGAGCTCGCTGCTGCTACCGCGGTGGCAGGTCTCCCCGATAGCCGCGATCCTCCCCGAAGGTGGCAGGCGGATGCCGCTGGCGCCTGGCCGTCACCGTGACACGCGCCGCCGGTTCCTCCCTTAACGGACGAGAGAACGGCCTTGGTTGTTGTTGTTGTCGCGCCGCCGCTCGCTCCGCGATAGAGGATCCGCCTCCCCGCTCGGTCCGGTCGGTCTCAGGTTCGTCGTCCTCTTCGTGGTACTGTTCGCGACACTCTACGTTCCGGGGAGCAAACGGGGCGAGCCGTGAAGTGTCAAGTGCTGAGACGCGCGTGTGTCATCGAGACGAACAAAGAGATCAGGTCGCTTGATGGGGGATCCTTTCTAGCCGATCGCCTAGAAATCGGCCGCATCGTTCGGATAAAAGAGTCTCTGCCCTGATCTTCAACAGTGTCCGCTGACAGAGTCCCGAAGCAACCGGGGGACAAAGGTTTCCGCTCCATCGGCCGACTGCTTGATCGCTCGTCAGTTGGAGAGCAGTACGGGGAAGCGGCGCTAAGGAGGATCCAGGTGTCAAGATGTCGGGCAACTACTCGGTCCGCTGCGAGCCGGGCCTGGTAGTGCCGCTGTGGAGGCCGGAGGAGAACCTGTACCTATCGGACGTGATAATCCGCGGCTCGGTGTACTTCTTCCTGCTGCTGTACCTGTTCATCGGCGTGTCGATCATCAGCGACCGGTTCATGGCCGCCATCGAGGTGATCACGTCGAAGGAGAAGGAGCTGGTGGTACGCCGGCAGGGCAAGGAGCCGCAGATCGTGGTGGTCAGGGTGTGGAACGAGACGGTGGCGAACTTGACGTTAATGGCGCTGGGCAGCAGCGCGCCGGAGATCCTATTGTCGATCATCGAGATCTGGGCGAAGAACTTCCAGGCGGGCGAGCTGGGCCCGGGCACGATCGTAGGCTCAGCCGCGTACAATCTCTTCGTGATCATCTCGCTGTGCGTGTTCGTCATACCGAACGGCGAGACCAGGAAGATCAAGCACCTGCGGGTGTTCTTCGTCACGGCGACCTGGAGCATCTTCGCTTACGTGTGGCTGTACCTGATCTTGGCCGTCTCTAGCCCCGGGGTGTTAGAGGTCTGGGAAGGGGTCTTGACGTTCTCCTTCTTCCCAGCGACCGTGCTCACCGCGTACGTCGCCGACAGGAGGCTGCTGATCTACAAGTACCTGCACAAAGGCTACCGGATGAACAAGCGAGGCGTGATCGTGCAGGCGGAGGCCGGGGACTCGGACGGCGGGGTGGAGCTCGAGATCAAGCCGCAGCAGGACGGTTTCCACCACAGCATGATGGACGCGGACACGCCCGAGGCGAAGGAGTTCGAGCAGACCCGCAGGGACTACATCAACACGCTCAGGGAGCTCAGGAAGAAGTTCCCTACCCAGCCCCTGGAGCAGCTCGAGGTGATGGCGCACGAGGAGGTGCTGGGCAAGGGGCCTAAGAGCAGGGCCTTCTACAGGGTCCAGGCTACCAGGAAGATGGTCGGCGCCGGCAACCTCAGCAAGAAGATCAGCGAAAGGGCGCAGAGCGACCTCAGCGAGGTCAAGGCCGAGCTGCAGAGGCAGGAGGCCGAGAGCATCGATATCGAGAACGTGAACGCTATGAGGATCTTCTTTGAACCTGGACACTACACCGTCATGGAGAACGTTGGGACTTTCGAGGTTGGGGTTACCAGGGCCGGCGGCGATCTCAGCAAGCCCTGCTCCGTGGATTACTGCACCGAGGACGGGTCCGCCGAAGCCGGGTCCGATTACATCAGCGCGAAAGGCACTCTGACCTTCGACCCGGGCGAGACTAAGAAGACCATCAAGCTCTCCGTTATCGATGACGAGCTGTTCGAGGAGGACGAGCACTTCTATGTCAGGTGGGACTGAGATGATGGCTCTTCTTCTTTCGTTTTGTCACCTTTCCTTTCGTTTTCATAGGGTTGCATTTAGGTTCTCACGTCTAGACTCGCTAGGAGATGCTTCACTTTAGGATTAATCGTTCAACACGCGTCGCGTAGTTGTGACAGTTGTAATATATTTTACATAATGAAAATGAGATTAATCCTGTAGATATTGTTATTAGGAATTGTATACCACGATGTTGTATTCAGAAACTCAATGACTCGTTTCAGTTGCATTACTGGAAATGGGTGACTAAATAATGGCGCGGTATATATTTTACAGTGCGACTTTATTGTAACAGCTTTGAAAAACTCTAGCTCTTTCAAGTTCTCGAATGCGAATCACTCGAACGCTCAGAAGTAAGTTGGCCTCCGTTTTCCTTGACAAGACCGTTTATGGTCTTGCCTGGAGAAAAGTCTCTTGACCTCGCGTGACAAAATCCAGACACATCTGGTTGCCTTTAGATGACCGTTCGGCATTTTCGCTTTTGCTAGCTTGGCATCAGTAATCATTCAACATGCATTTCTCTAATATTTTCTTCAGGTTTATTGGATCGAAGAAGATATTATAGCTCGCTTAGCGAACGCGTTAACCCCTTTGTTCGCCATTCCTTTCGCAACTGTTCTCGTCAAAGCTGTGCCACCTTTAACAATTAATCCGCGGAACGAACATTTGTCATTTACTGTAAAATCCAAACTCAGTGTACCCATAAGCATCGGTTCATCTGCGAACTTCGTTTCCGCGTTTTCCGCGGACACGCGCCTCGTTAACGATCTCGCGCGCTTCCACTGCCACTCGGGGAGTCCCCGTGACCGGTGACCGAACTGAATTTGGCACTCGGTCATTCCCGGCTGGTTCTGGGTCACGGAGACCTCTCCCCGCGGACGGAATATCCGCGACGGCGGTCGAACCATCGGCCACGCAACGGAACCACAGAACCGAGTTAACTTTTCCTCTGATGTGGTCGATATGCTTGTCCACCTGTACTTGAAGGTAGCAGAGTGTCGTCATTCAAAGGGTCTTCCTCCAATTGTGGGATTTATAGGATGAAGGTTGCAACATTTATAGAATGATCGCGGTAGTCTTAGAAAATTAATGAAATTACCTTCTTCGAGGGGCAAAAGGGGGGCTTAGCTATTCGGTTATTAGAGTCTTTAGTAATTTAGGGGAGATTTGATGCTTGAGAGGTTAAGTTTGCTACCATAAAATGAAATTAATGTTATAGGTATTGTTATTAGGAATGATAAGCTACATTATATTTACGAACTCAATGACTCGTTTCAGTTTCGTTTTTCTAATATTTCGTTTATAACTTTCGTTATTAGAGTCTTTACTAATTTATGGTAGATTTGATGTTTGAGAGGTTAAGACGTTCGCTGTCGTAAAATGAAATTATTTCTATAGATATTCTTATTAGGAATGATAAGCTGCATTATATTTAGGAACCCGATGACTCGTTTCAGTTGCATTTTCTAACGTTTTATTTAGATTGATTGGATTATAGTGTTAATAGTTATTTGAGAATGCAAGAGAAACTCATTTTGCGTAGACAAGTCGTCTCAACATTCCGTTGAGACGATGGACTATTCTATTGAGATAGTCCATCAAGTTTAAACTAGAGTTAGGACATAGAAAACCGTTCTACGTATTGAAATGAAATAGTTCTGTTCCTTAGATCGTACATGACGCTTCTTTATGTCGACCGTGAAAAGTGTCGTCGATATTTCATTGAAAAATTGTGAATATCGAAACGATATTTGGGATACAAATAAATAGGGCAATGTTGGCGTGTTTATCCGTAGAATCGTTTACTTGGATCTATCGGGCAAGCGCGAGCTTGGAAGCTAAAAATATCTGTAGAATACACCTTGGGCTAATTATAAATTGAGTCCACTTCCGAACGAATGGCGTTTTCGTACTCGAGAACCTTGACCCTCGGTGAGCGTCGTCTTAACACGTCCCGCGCCGCGTGGGTCGTATACGACCCATGCTGAATTTTCCGTTCAGACCGGAAATGAATTCTCATTGAAGAACGAAGAGCTTTTGAAAAATTGATTGTAGAGTCAAATATAGGCATCTTAATGTCATGTATACTGCGTTTATTTAATCTTATTTAATTGTAAAAGTGTTAATTTCATTTAATTGCAAACGTGACCTAACCAAGACCGGAGATGAATTCTCATCGAAAAACGAAGAACGATTACAATGAAAGACTTGATCTTAAGTAAAAATATTTCGTAACATAAGTAGATGGATCATAGCGTAATATGACTAATGTAATACCAAATCACTAATAATTATTTTCAATATCATTTGCCTTTGTTATTAAAGACTGGGTATTACTATTCAAAATGCTAGATACTCTCGTGGCAGTCAACGTGTCAATACCATGTATACTGCGTTTATTTAATTTTATTTAGTCGTAAAAGGCTAATGTTACGTGTAATGCTTTATAATTTTCGTACATAAAATCGAATGATGAGCGAGAGTCACCTCTCGAGTGCGAAGGGTTAATGCTGAACTCTAAGTTTCATCATTCTGTCGAGTTAAATCAAACGACTGAAAGGTGCCTTTCGAGTGCAAACGATTAAACCGGTCCGAGGAAATTAAAGACAATCACACCGATAACTCGTACAGCTAACCTAAAAACGGAACTTCCACCGTTTCCGAATTCGCGACTTCAGTTACGCGTTCCATTGAATTCCCCGCGTGCAGCAGTTCTCGTATCAACGGTCCCGCGGTTTCCAATCATTAGAGCCATCCGTGACTGACGGCTCCGTCGGAGGGAAGGTGGGACGCGTACCGTCGAACGTATCGGACCTTGAAACCGCCGAGTCGCGCGGAAGCCGGCTGGGAATTGGAACGCGGCGGGCAAAAAGGCGAAAAAAAGGCCGGAGAAACGGTGCAAAATGTTTCATTGTTTCGCAGAGCAGATTGGAACCCTGACGAAAACGCGCGCTTCTTTGCGACGCAACTCGGTCGAGGTCGGGGGACAATGATGTCCGCCCGGAACGGTGGATAAATAAAAATAAAAACGGCGAGAAAGGAGAAACGAGCCGAACAAAAGGGACCGCGAGCGAGCGAATCGTTCGACGTCGTTTTAACGATTATCGAGGCCCGATATGAGCGGCGGGATGCGTTCGAACGCGGGGAAGCACTTCGCGCGGCCACGTCGATTTCCTGTTCGAATCCCTTTCATTGATCATTCGCTGTGTTTTCTTCCTTTCCGCGCCATGACTTGTAAACTTGTACTTCTCGAAGGACCACCCGAACGATCGGGAAGAAAACTTAGAAAATGAGTGTAAAGATACGCGGGAGAAATACCGTAGTCCTCGGACTTTCTCCGGATTTGTAGGACTTAACGGCGTCGTTCCTCCAACTTTGAGGAAGCTTCGGCGGATCACAGGGAAATCCATTGTACGTAACCTCAAGAGGATCCTCGCGTGTGCTCGTTACTACGTTGCACTGCCACCTGGCAGTTTCTTTATCCTTCTTCTTTCTCTTTGCTTCTTTCGGTTGGTTCTTATAAGAATCTGCGTTTCGAAGGTATAATTTGAACGTGGGTTTTTCTGTTTGCTCGTTTCAACGGGAGAATGTGGTGGACGTTCGAATGGGATCGCGGAGAATTTTGGGATGGGTTTAAGATGTGAAGTTGATGAGGCGAGTGATGATTATTGTTAGGTACTCGTGATTACCGCAATGGTGAACGAGCTTTGTAGGCGTTCGCACGTGGTGCCGACTTGTAAACTTGTACTTCTCGAAGGACCACCCGAATGATCGGGAACGAAACTTCGAAAATGAGTAGGCGCTGAGGTAAACTTGGTTCTTTTTGTGACTTGTTATGTTCTAATGTTGCGCTATGCGTGATCTGACTTCCTACTGCCCGAACCTCCCAGAATCGTCTTCACGTCCTCCAAAGACGTTCTGGTTGGTTTTCTGAGTGTAGAGGGTTGCGGAAGGGAGACAAAGTTCCCTCCCTTCTTGGGTCTTCCTAGTTGCTAATGTTACTAACTAATTCGTCCCGTTTGCAATCCTCGACCGTGGCAGGTAAAAAAGCAAGGAACTGATGTTGGTCGAGCTTTTACGTTGGTATCTCTTTGATTTGGTCTCCGCGGGACTTTTTATCTTGTGACCTTTTCCAATTTGCTATTTCCTTCTGTGGCATTGTATTCTTCTTTGAATTCTCGATTGAGTTCTGTTAGTCGACAACTGTATCGTTCGACACTTCGAAAGACACTTCTTTTGTTATCAATGTCATTCTTACTCGTTTTTTATATGTTACGAAAGTATTCGCTAGAATATGACAAGATATAAGGAAATACCAACTGCTCGAAATATAAACCAAGAAATGTACAAGCCCAAAACAGAAAAGCAAAAGCCCAGAACAGAAAATAAACGTTTAAAGGCGCGAAACAAGAAACCAAAAGCTTGGAAGCCGAAAATAAGAAATAGAGATATAGAGGAACAAAACGAGGAGCCAAAAGCGTAGAAGCCCAAAATAGAAAACAAAGATGTACAAGCCAAAAGCGAAAAAATAAGAGCGCAGAAGCTGAAAACAGAGGTTTAAACGCGCAAAACGAGGAAGAAGAGTGAAAACAGAAACGGAGAAATAAGAGAAAAGAAACGATCGCGAATAAATCATCAGAGTCGGTTCCCAATCGACCCAGTTCCCGGACGCAAACAGGAAGCGGCATCCATTCGAGAGCTGCTCCTTCGGCCCGCCACGATAATAAATTGATAATCGCCGGGGAGAGCCGCGTCTCTCAATTAACTCGGGCCGGATGGCGCGCGCAATTTCATTACCGAATAAACTCCGTCGCACAAAGGGACACCACGCCACTTATTCGCGGCTCCGTCGACGCCGCGCACCGACGTGCACGTCGGGGACGCCAATTAGCCGGCGATTCGATCATACGCGGGCCGTGCTCGATTCACGTCCGAGAATCGTGTCCCGGCCAGGGACACCGATCGGTCGTCACTCGCCAACCGATTAACCCTTACATTAACATTATTCCTACCGCGACCAGTCAAATGTCTGTTTTTAAAATTTCGATTAGAATTTCCTATAGAACGTAATTGAACCGCCGAAGACTAACGAAATCTGTCTAAAATGTAAAAAGTACGTGTGTGGGAAATGTACAATCGACAAACCTATTTGTAAAAAATGCGGTGGAAATGAATAAAATGTAAATTATATACTTCTGAATAAAAGAAGCTATATTTGTATACTGTCAAATTGGCTGTTATCTTCATTCTGTATTAAAAAATATAAGTTGTGCTAAATACCAGTCATTTGACCGGTCGCGGTAGGAATGAATGTCACTGCATTAGGTAGTATTACTAGTAATACAGAAAAGTTTTCAAATAATCATCGTTTAATTGAAGAAATTATAGTAATTCGATTTGGTTGAGATCACCGGTGATCCCCGTGGCATTCAACCATTGTTAACAGCCAGCTATTCAACCGTTTTCCAATTTTCTTCCGCTCGGTTTTTCCTACGTTCTCTCGAATACCCGATAAAATTTCACATAACCTAACTCTCTGCATTCGAAACGAACTGCGGTATTTCTCGGAGAGGTGTCTAGATGTGATTTGCATTATCGAATACTCTCACTTTCAATTGTTTGAAAGAAACAACTGAATCCTGCAGAGGTCCGTTTAACGCTTTGAATGCCGCACGGTTTTAAGCTGCGGAATGTGCGAAATGAAAGATAGAATATTAATATTAGAAGTACCGAAGGTGTGAAAAGACACCTTCGGAAATTTTATCTTGAAATTATTTTTCGATTTATTTCAAGTTATTTCGATTGTGAAATTGACTACAGGAAATGTTCAAAATTCAATGGAGAAAAACTGATTGAACGGAGGAAACAACATTTGAATATTTAGATATTTGGATGTTTGAAGGTTTGAATATTTGAAAATTTGAATATTTGAATGTTTGAATATTTGAATATTTGAATATTTGAATATTTGAATATTTGGACGTTTGGACGTTTCGATAGTTGAATGTTTGAAGGTTTGAATATTTGAAAATTTGAAATTTGAGTATTTAAATATTTGAATATTTGAATATTTGAATATTTGAAAATTTGAATATTTGGAAATTTGAATATTTGAATATTTGGAAATTTGAATATTTGAAAATTTGAATATTTGAATATTTGAATATTTGAATATTTGAATATTTGGATGTTTGGACGTTTGGATAGTTTAAAATTCCAAAAAGAGTCTTTTCACACTTTCGGTAGAGATAGCGCTAAGAAATAGTGTTACGTAGACATTTCGGTTGTTAACGAAAGAGTTGATCCATTGGGGTTGCTAATATAAGGGTGGATTGAAACGCGCCGAGAGCTTCGAAGGTTCAAATGTCGGTGCAAGGTGAACAGTCGTCCGTTTCTCCAGGTGGAAATTCGGCTTCATGATGATCGTGGCCGCGACGACGGGGATAGGATGACTGGAACATGTCGACGGTACTCCCGAGTACTCGAGACAAGTGTCACTCGCGTTAAGAGCGACGAAATTGCTGCTTCTCGTTCTCTTTTTCTTTTGCTCTCTCTTAGTTTCCTGTCTTTCTCTTTCTTTCTACTTCTTCCCTTTCTTTACTCGTTTCTTCACTACCTCTTCCTCTAATTCTGTTTGTATTTCTCTTTTCCCCTACTCTTTCTCCATCGTTTTGCAATCGTAACAAAAATATCTGTCTATTTCCATAGGATCAGCAACAAACCATAATAAAGCTACAAACCTAGTCTTTAAAGTATTACACCTTTGGATGTTCCATTTTCATTAAAACCCTACAATCTTTTCACAATCTTTCCACAATTTTTCTATAATCTTTCTACAATCTTCCATTCTGCAACTGTCGCAACAAAAATATCTATTTTCCCAAAATCACCGCAACAAACCATAACAAATCTCCACAAACCCAGTCTACAACGCATCACACGTTTGAATCTTCCATTGTCATTAAAACCCCACAATCTTTCCAGAACCTTTCTATAATCTTTCTATAATATTTGTATAATCTTTCTACAATCTTCCATTCCGCAACTGTTGCAACGAAAATATCTCTATTTTCCCAGAATCACCGCGACAAACCACAACAAATCTCCACAAACCCAGTCTACAACGCATCGCGCGTTCGAATCTTCCATTCTCATTGAACAATCGTTCATCGATCTGTTCTCGTGTAATCATTGGAATGAGAAAACTCGTGGTTGCCCACAGGCTGAGCAACGCGACGCAGCCGGCCATGCTGGTCTCCCCTAGCCTGGCCACAGTGATGATCCTCGACGACGATCACAGCGGCGTGTTCGGGTTCCCCGAGAGGGACGTCGAGCTGGTGGAGAGCGTCGGCCAGTTCCCGTTGCGGGTTGTGAGGTACAGCGGCGCCAGGGGACGCGTCGTCGTCCCTTATCGCACCGTCGAGGGAACCGCCAAGCCTGGCAGACAGTACCTGCACACCGAGGGATCGCTCACCTTCGAGGACAACCAGACCGAGTAAGTTTTCTCTCTTTTCTTTCCCACAGGGGAAACCTCTCTCGTTGTCCGAACCAACCGAGCAACTCGGTTTTCAATTTTTAATACTGCGTTCATTACGAAATGATCAGGTTGCCAGCATTTTTGTTCGTTAGGTTTATTTAGCGACTATAGTAAAGTAACTCAAGAATATATTGAAAAATAAATGTTGTACGAAATCTTCTTCAACTGTATAACTAGTAGTGAGAAAATAATATTATAGTAATATTATAATACTGTAATGATTATAGTAAAGTAACTATATTAAAAAGTAAATATTGTCGTATGAAATCTTCTTCAACTGTATAACTAGTAGTGAGAAAATAATATTATAGTAATATTATAATACTGTAATGATTATAGTAAAGTAACTATATTAAAAAGTAAATATTGTCGTATGAAATCTTCTCCAACTATATAATTAGTAATGAGAAAATAATTACAGTAATATTATAATACTGTAATAACTGTAGTAAAGTAGCTATATTAAAAAATAAATATTGTCGTATGAAATCTTCTCCAACCTGATTAGAGATGAAATTTTGTTTTAACCTGAAATATTATACTATCGTCGTACAATTGGAAACAATTTTTCAACTCAGCACCGAGCACAATTTCGAATGGCTAGCTATCGGTCAGTCTAAATCCAGCAGTGGATACGAATACACGTTCGAAACTCGAAGGGGAGGATTTTTCACGCAACGAAGACCGTCGGGTTTAACGGCGACCTTAATTGGTTTCTTAGCAGCTAACGCCGCTTCCTAAAGAGCTTTGGATTAGGTGATTCGGCTGGGGGCAGGTCGCCATAATTCTTCCCCCAGGGGAAAAAGCAAACGCGTCGCTGATTTTATTCGGCGGCTACGACCGGTTCGTCGGAAATTCTCTCGGCTCGACATTCAACTTTTGTCGCGCGGCATCGAGGCGGACTCGCGAACAAGTTTTCAAAGAAACGACACGACGAATCAGAAACTTTTCTGTGTTCTCTGGTTAATTATTAACTCGAAAGCTGTCCCGTCAGAACGATGGGTTTCAGTGTTCTTGTTTCATAATTATTAATATCTTAGAAGCGTTTAACATCTGAAGTGACTTCAAAGCTAAATAGAGGAAAAGAAAAAGAAATTGGAGAACTAAAGAAGAAAATACAAATACAGAATGGAAGAAATGTATTGTTGCAAGGTTTGTAAGAAGTATACATTCGCAGTCAAGATGAAAATTATATCTAAAACATAAATTGGCATATCTAATAGTCTTAACATGCGAATTACTGCGACATAAGATACTTAGAATCCGCCATTTTGTCGGTAGTTCCTAACACTACATCGAGCAGTAAAATTGATTATCCTGTATTTCCTTATAAAATGTATTAAAAATACATTTAATGTTCAATTTCCTTACATTCTATTTTGTATTTATATAAATCAATTTATTGAATAATTTCATTAAGATTTGAATCGTCCGCCTTTTCCATAATTGCAAAAGAAGTGACACGAAATGGGTCGTCTAGCGTTAAATGATATTAGAAATCTTTGCTTCGAGTCTGACACGATATTGTAAGGCAAGGGGTTAAAGGTGTTTTTTGTAAGCGAATTCACCGGTCAGCGAGGTGTTAAGGATAAAGTTATCCTATCGAGGGCAGTTATCGAAGTAATCATAGGACGAGGAGTTAATCGGATCGCCATGGCTGCGGCCAGCTCGAAACGTCCAGTCATTTCTGTGTTTCCAGAACGCGCGGGCCGCGGCTAATCTGATCGGGCAGCCTTGCAATTAGGCGATTCGAAATACGGCCAACCGAGATGCTTATCGAAGACGCGGTCGTCGCCTATTATTGCGCGCGACCGGATAACCTGTTCGACGAATGGGTGCTCAGCTCTCGATTGTTCTGTGCCCTCGACACGCGCCGCTACTGGGGAACCGGCGAACACGAGTTTCGGAGTGGATTATTTTACTCTTGGAGAGAGATGTATTTAGGCGTTGAGTTTGATGATATAGTTTGATTATTATAGTGGGTGGACGCTTTGGTTTGGGTTGATCATTTTGGATTGGAAATTTGAATGTTTGAATGATTGGAAATTTGGATGTTTGGACGTTTGAACGTTTGAATGTTTGGAAATTTGGACGTTTGGACGTTTGAACGTTTGGACGTTTCGACAGTTGAATGTTTGAAGGTTTGGAAATTTGAACATTTGAACATTTGAATATTTGGATGTTTGAATATTTGAATATTTTAATATTTGAATATTTGGATGTTTGAATATTTGAATATTTGAATATTTTAATATTTGAATATTTGGATGTTTGAATATTTGAATATTTGAATATTTGAATATTTGAATATTTCGACGTTTCGATAGTTGAATGTTTGAAGGTTTGAATATTTGAAGGTTTTAATATTTGAAAATTTGAATATTTGAATATTTGAATATTTGAATATTTGAATATTTGGACGTTTGGATAGTAGAACGCTTGAGCGTTTGAAAATTTGAATATTTGGGCGTTTGGACAGTTGAATGTTTGAAGGTTTGAACTTTTGAAAATTTAAAAATTTGAATATTTGAAGGTTTGGAAATTTGGAAATTTGGTAATTTGGTAATTTGATAATTTGATAATTTGGTAATTTGGTAATTTGGTAATTTGATAATTTGGAAATTTGGAAATTTGAAGGTTTGGACATTTGGAAATTTAGAAATTTAGAAATTTAGAAATTTAGAAATCTGGAAATTTGGACATTTGGACATCAGAACATCAGAATATCAGAACATCAGAACACTTGAACATTCGGAAATTTGAGAATTCAGAGCTTTACATTTTTCACGAACTACAAACAAAACAAAAGTTACTCCAGCAATCTCCATACAGAAATCCCCCCTAATCTTTACATTACACCCGCATTCCCAATAAAACACAAACAAACCGAACTGAACTAACACCGATATCCTCCAAAGAACCTCCGTAATCCCAAGATTCCATTTCAAAGTTCGATTCACTATAATGAATCTCGCCTGATCTTCATATTATATCCGCGTTCCCCATAAAACGCAAGCAAAACGAAGTCAAATAACGTCGACGTCCTCCAAAGAACCTCGTCTAATTAGAAGATTCCATTTCAAAGTCCGATTCCCGTTTTCCCAGCGAGACGGCGCGTTTATTCAGAACCGCTCTGTCCAGGCCGATCCATTAATTAATCATAGGGTGTGTACGAACGGAACGAGAAGCGTATAATCGGAATCAGATCGCGTAATCAGATCGACCGAATTCCCGACGCGGCGCGCGGCGAGAACGTTTGGTCGTTTCACTGTCAAAACCGTAGAACTTGCCACGGAGACGAGACAGAGCGACGAATATTTTTTTAACGCGTTCACAATCAACGTTTGTTTTACTAGCGAGCTGCACAATATTTTATCGAATGCAACAAATCGTAGAAAATGCGAATACCAGAATATGTATAGAAGCTAATAGACTCGAGAACCATTTGATTTGATGTATAGATTGGATAGCTAATAGATTTAACTGATGGATTCAAGAATCATTTGATTTTTATATAGATTGGATAGCTAATAGATTTAGATAGATTTCAGAATCATTTGATTCTTATATAGATTAGATAATTAATAGATTTAGATTGATTCAACAAGCATTTGATTTGATGTATAGATTGGATAGCTAATAGATTTAGATAGATTTCAGAATCATTTGATTCGATGTATAGATTGGATAGCTAATAGATTTAACTGATGGATTCAAGAATCATTTGATTTTTATATAGATTGGATGGCTAATAGATTTAGATTGATTCAACAAGCATTTGATTTCATGTATAGATTGGATAGCTAATAGATTTAGATAGATTTAAGAATCATTTGATTCTCATATAGATTAGATAATTAATAGATTTAGATTGATTCAACAAACATTTGATTTGACGTATAGATTGGATAGCCGATAGGTTTACAAAGATTTAACAATCTGATCCTAAATATACAAACCGTGATCTATTTCTGGAAATTTAAATAGCTTCGAAGCTCCATTAAAGGAACTAATTGTTGAGTGACATTTCAAACGTCAAATTTAACTCTCTGTCTCTCATTATTCCACCACGTATGCATTTACATTATATTGTAACATTCTCACTCCATAAATTCTTAATTTCCCACTGTTACCTGTTAATGTCGAGTATGCGTCAATGAATAATTTCATTCAATAACAACATTAACGTCCAAATGTTGCGAAACAGCTGTTCATTCCGAAAAGAAGAGCCTCGTGTGAATTTAATACTAGGTTTACGGGCATTTATTCTACAGTTTATTTTATTATTCCCGGGGAAGTTGATATTCGTTCATTTAGATTTCGGAAATTGTAGATGTAGAGATATACAATCTGGATTCATATTCGTCTAATTCGATCAACGAAAACCGATTGAAACATTCACCGAATAATGTTTATAAAATTCAATCTGCGTCGAATCGACGCGTTCCGTGAACCTAGTGTTGAACAAGAATTCGCACTATCCTCATCCTACCGGAAGTTCTTTGATTTCGCCGCGGGAACGGCGGAATGTATGTAAATCACCGCGAAAAACCGTCGACTCGAATATTGCCCGTTGCCCGCGGCGCGGATTAATGGAATTTAAATAGGGCGCGTCGCGTTCGATCGCGATAGATAAACGTTGCATAATTCCGACGAGCCCGGGGCGTGTGTAAACGGGCAATCGGCCGTTATCGCGACGCGATCGATGATTATCAATCTCGGCATGGTGTCTAACAATTAGACCGTGAAACGATGCTCGATGCTCGCGCGCGGAAATCGCGGACGAGCACGCGACACGGTCCGGATGACGTATCGGGGATCATCACGCGATCTTCGGTTAGTGCCGATTTATCTTTCGAGAGTATCTTGATCGTTCTTTGATTCTCTTTTGATTACTTCTTGATTGCTTTCGAATTATTCTTCCATTCTATGTTCGTCGATTATTCTTTGATTATCTTTCTCGTGATTTCGAGACGGTTCCTCTGGTCTTTAGAAGATTCGGAAATATCGACGAATTCAATATTGCGAATGTTATAGTTATTGTCAAATTCCGTTGACCCTGTCAGAGGAATTATCGATCAATTATTGAAAAACATCTTTGTCTTTCCAGCGCGAGGCGTTAACCTTTGCGCTCCGAATTTCTTTTGCAGTTTTTTCTCGGTAACTCTGTGTTATCGTAATGTTCGATTCGAAATGCATTTTGAAGAATCGTTAGTTTATAGGGAGCAGCGAAAACAATGCTTCTTACTAATAATATTGAAAATAACAGAATAATATAATGTGTTTATGCACCAATATATTGAAAGAAAATAGCTTTCTCCCTCGATGCACCTGCGATTTCTCGTCAACTCGATGTCAGGAAATGTCATCTGCATCTGATTAGAAAATATGGAGTACTTCCAGTGAAAAACTTCTGGAATGCAGAGGGTTAATAGAACAATTTCGGTTGTATGGAAGTTTGACGAGCGACAACGTTCTCGCCTCGCGTCTGATCAAAGCCGATCTATTCTCCTTTCCCATGTCAGATCGAAACCAGTGCACACAATGAAAATTCTCCATTTATTCAACTCTTTGCGGACGAACGTCGACATTCGGCGAGACGAAATGTTCATATTTGGAAAAGTAGGTCGCAAACAAATGATTCAATTACTCAACTTTCTTTCTATTATTTAACACTGTTCCTACCGACACTCCAAGTATACCTATTCTTACCGCGACTAGACAAATGACTGCTCTTTAGCACAACTTATATTTTTTAATATAGAATGATGATAATGGCCAATTTGACAGTATACAAATATAGTTTCTTTTATTCAGAAGTATATAATTTACATTTTATTCGTTTTCACCGCATTTTTTACAAATAGGTTTGTCGATTGTACATTTCCCACACACGTACTTTTTACATTTTAGACAGATTTCGTTAGTCTTATTGTTTGTGCAATACCTTATTTGGCATGGTTTCCGTTCGCGTGAACCTGTACTTGTATTTGTGA